GCTGAGCGCCAGCAAAATTAGGACCCTGTTCTTGAGCCAAGACATGATTGGCACGAATGGCGACGCTGGCAATGCCGCTTAGAGCTCTGAAGATCGGACTCGTGGCGACGGTGCTGCGTTGCCGGTGTTTGCTGTTAGAACATGCCATTGGTAGGTGTATGCTCTGGTGCTGCATTAGTTTATCCTTGTGATTACTGTTTGACCTAGCGAACGAGACATGTCCTATATGTGGTTTGGATATTTTGCGTTTTTCAAAGGTGTGTGTGTGTGCCACCAGAAAATCAAGTATTTTTTACTGTCTTTTTTTTTCTTTGATATGTTTGGTTTTGACGCTTTTTTTCTTGAGCTTTTGTGTCTCAGCGCCAGCTGTGCATCGTTATACAGGCAGGAGCTGTGATTCCCCACAATGTGGCTCACTTAACACTGCAGGTGATTGCTACAATGATGATTCGTATGTGTATTTCACTGGGTGTTTTTTATGGATTTATATGATTTTTGTTTTGTGTTTCTGCGTTTTAGTTTTTGCATAATTCAAAGTGCTGCGGGCAGTGCACCGTCACGCTATTCAGATTCTTACTGCTGTGTGCGTGTTGCATCCTTGTTTTTTTTTCTTTTAGCATGAGACGATATTTTATTTTTTAAATCTCAGCTTCAGAGGCATGTGTGAAATTATTTGCGAGGGCTTGGCTTGCCATTTTAGTTGTGTTCTTTGCTTGTCCAATATTGGCACGGTTCAGCCGGGCTTATGGAAAGCTTTACTGCAGCGCAACATTGTGGATGCAGGATCATTGCTCCGCTAAACTCTCTATGGTTGCAGCTGTTCTGCACAGTTACCTTCTGAACCATGCGTATTTTACGTAGACGCGCGATACTACGTGGGGAGAGTATGTGCTTCAACTCGAAGACTGCGGTAGCCTCTTTAAGGCCCCATTGACTTTGCTGGAGGACACACTGCGGCGGGAGGCTGAGGCAGATTTGCCGCAACACTTGCAAGCCCTTTGGCGCGGGCCATACGGGACTGGCCGAAACGCTCGAGATTATCTTTCCAACATTGGACGAGTTTGTATAAGTTGAGTTGTGTTGAGAAGATTCACCGTTTTTATTGACCAAATGTGGAAGCATAGCGGAGATGCGCGTGATCACACTGGCGCCGAAGCATGTGCTCTTGGTCGTCACTTGGACCACTCTCCAGTGGGTTGCCTTGTGCACGCGCAGAGAGTGAGAGGGTGACCTTCCACCTGTGTACTTTTTTTTTTTTTGCACCCCCATTGCTCTTCGGTGAAGGAATACCACCTCGCAAATAAAGCGAGGAACGTTGCGCACATCTGTGTGAACTTCCGCTCGGCCTCGTGGCATTCATGAAAGCGTTCGCTTAACGCTACTCTGCCGGGCACCAGTGCAGATGTTGTGACGCAAGTATACCCATTTTGACCGGGAACTCTTTTTCACCATCCAATGCGAAGTATATGCGGATGTTCCAAGCCTCCGATCTGCATGCTGTAGCGAGCGAATTGGGCAGTCATTTTCTCAAATGGGATCATGAGAAGGACCTAAACATGGCTGCCCTCTGACGGCGGGAAGGAAGCTCACTCTACCACGATGCACTTACACGATTAATTACGTGTTTTTCTTATTATGACGCTGAAGCATGCGGCGGGATCTTCATCTCCAACACACATCTGGCGAAAACGTGGCAAGTAATGCGTGGTGCTTCTTATCAACTCACAAGTGGGAAGAATACGACTGAAACAGCGACAACAAAAAACATATTACGAAGCACAAGTCTCGGCTGCTTTCTCTGCTGACGCTGGAAAATAAGG